CTTGCCACAGAATTACTGAGTCTCTGCCAACTGATACCTGCAAGAACTGTTTGAATTTGCTATTCCCTGACCTTGGTAGCATCTCCTGTAATTGCTTTCTCACAAACCCAATCCCACTGACTCAGGTCTATGGGAACTCTGCTGCTGGCTTCAATAAGATCTGCCCCTTAAATATTTAACAGGTGGATATGAATCTTGTGAAAAAAAGTCACTCTTCATAACAGATATCCCCCAGGAAGGCATTTCTCATCACACAAAAGGGTTGCAAGTGTCTGAATGGGACCTTTGGGAGGAGGATGAATGGGCTATTAAGAAGGAAGCCTGGAAAAATGAAAGGTAATATAAAAGCCTGAGCTGTAGAGCTCCTAAGAAGTAGCAGCAGGTTTCCTAGGGTAGCAATCTGCGCAGGAAGCGCCATGTGATCCTACTGCTAGATGTACCAGCCATCAGCAGATGGAGTTCCTATAGCAAAGCAAGCTCCTCGGCCTTGCCCATGGGTGGAGCTGCTTGCAAGCAACTCCACACAGGGACACACTCACGTCACAGTAACAGCGACTTGTTTCTGCTCGCTGTGCTTGCACATATAGCACAAATGCAGGCAAACCTACAGGCACCAAACTGATGTGACTAGCAGCTGCCTGCTGTGTCCCCCTGCCGAGATCAGTATGTTTTTCTAAAGCATTTTCCTTAGGCTCTCCTCTGGGTGCCACACAGAGATTTAAAGCAGCCTAAATAGCTAGGCATTGTAAAATGCCTTTCAATCTAAACGGCTGGAAAAGCCCCTCATAAACCTGCTGTGAGGTCAGCCCTACATGTGCTTCCCTTGCTTCCCTGAACGTCTCATGCTACCTGCCAGTCGCGCACAAATTTTGGCTCCCCTTCCAAAATGCAGCCCTGGGAGCATATCCTAGTGCCATGTCTCTCCCCAGTCAGGTCCTGCACCTTCCCACTCATGAAAATATGAGCTTGGGAGCTGCCACACTGGATCAGGCCAGGAACCCTGTTAATCCAATGTACTGGCTTCGGCAGAAGCCACCGCCAGACTCTGCAGAAGCTAGGCAGAGTCACACTAGCTCTAAGTAAGGCACAAGTATTTAACAGTGAGAAGAATGAATCATTTGAGCACCTCAAATTGAGGAAGGAGCTACTTCCTACCCATCCTGCTGGTGGGTTTGCAATGTGGATGCCTGTCCCACACTAACCCGAAAGCTTGCTTAATAATTATTTTCCAACTATTTGGGTTGGTCTAATAAAAGATATCAGATTCACCCAAGGAACCTTGTCTGCCTATGTCCCACACTAATGCATTTCATGGGTTATATGCTTCTGAAGTTCCCTTTGTACCAAAAGGTGCTGACAAAGCTCAGCTTTGCTCCTTCTCATCAGCAAGGCATCTTTCCCCAAAAGGTTGAGCAACCAATACCTCACAGTGTAGGAGAGTGAACATAGGAGGAAAACTGAATGTGGGGCACTGCTGTCACCAGTGAACACCATTTCACTCTAATGCTACGCAGCCACCCCATAGAGGATGCTGCTGGCAAAATTAAATTAAATTAAATTAAATTAAATTAAATTAAATTACACAGGCTCTTCTCCCTCAATCCTTGGCAAGACTGACTCCAGCAGGACCAGGAAATTAAACTCACTCAATGCTCTTGTTACAAAGCCAGTCTAGAAAAAAGATGTATGGACAAAGAACAAATGCAGGAACAGATAAAAGAAAACCTCTGGCCTCAAACCTAGGAAAATTCTAAGACGTGGGGAAGGAGACAGTCTGGACAGGTTACAAAATAGCTCCCCTCCACCCCCAGTCCCTGAGCAAAGTAACAGGGTCGGTTCATGCACTACCTGCAAACCTAACCCCTCCCTGCACTATCCAACTAAAGGTATCCAGCCACACCAGACATGAACACCAAGTTCATCTACTTTGCTGGCACAACTCCAGGCTGCTGTCTTCACACAGACATTATGTGCACCACAGCCCAGTTGCACAGCCGCTCTGCACTTCTCAAACTCCACAGTCACCTCAGAAGGGCAAATTGCTCCACGCACGTCCGTACGGGGAGAGTTGCTGAGAAAACCACCCAACCATCCTCACTTTGGAGAGGGGTTATTCTTGGCTGCTCCCATTAGGGTTGGAAAGGTTGGCACAGTGGGGCAGCTGTCCAAAACAATGCAGCGCTGCACAGTGTGAGCAGCTGTGCCCTGCACAATCTTTGCAAAAGCTGGCAAATTGGATTGCTGAAGCTGACATGCGTTGCCATGGCCACTTACGATAATTGTTCATTTGACTCAGAGAGATCGCACAACTTAACAGCTAAGCCCCGAAATGCTCTGCTGAAAGGGATGAGTGAGTACAGCTCAGTAGTGTTCCAAGGGGCTAATTATAGCAATGTTGAGTAAGAGTGTACAACGGGAATCCCAAAGCTTGTTTCAGGGTAAGATCTCACTGGACTGCCACATTAACAGGGTCCCAAGAAATGTCCTAAAGCTGAATGGGCAACACAAGCCTCAAGGTTCAGAAACCGTTCCCTCCAAGAGAATACGAACTGGATTGGTATCATTTTGGTTAGTGCATTGTCAAGGTTGTCTATGTTGGCTCCAGCCTGTATACAAGAGCCCTCACTGACTGCAGCAGGAGCTACCCACAAGGACAGCGCTGGACCAGGTGATGCACCGAGCCCACTGCATACTTGGTATATAAATGCCAGAAAGAATTGATCTCGCAAAAAAAGCCCCGTTATAATAATAAAAAAATCTGCACTGAGAAGAGAGAGAGAGATTTTGTAAACATGACAGAAGGTGAGCCAGAGCAGCTGTCTCTGCAGGGGAAATCCTCACTCTTAAAGCCAAGAAGATTACAGGGTACAAACACAGGTCAGACTGCCACTACCTTGGGCATGCTATAAATCTCACAGCCCTGGCCTTTTCCAAGCTTTGCACTCTTACAGACCAAGGCTTGCAGGGAGGTTGACCTGGGACTTGGGAGACCTGGGTTCATGCCCTGCTCTGCCACAGAATCCCAAGGCACCTTGAGCAAGATCTCCTCTCTTCCACCCCCCTGTTTTTAAAGTAGGGGTAACCACTGCTATCCTGCCAGGGTAAGTGCACTAGTGATTGCAAAGTGCACTGATAACACAGAAAAGGAAGACCTTAGACACAATCACCTATGCTTTCACCTCTCCACTGCCATAAACTCATGATCAGGCCCTCTGGCACTGCTTACAAATTCTCTCTCTAAACACACACCATGCCCTGCCCTGCCGCCCTATGGCACTGCAACACGGCCATAAAGGGCTACCAGATCAAGATGGTGACTCCTCACACCAATTCCATCCTAGTGCAACAGGCAAGAGCTGAGTAAATTCAGCGTCAGGTCTGGATCGCCATGTTCAGCCACTGCCAGTGCTGCAGGACTTGCAAAGGATGGCTAGTTTGTGGGCAGGGAGACAGCAGTAGGGACAGACTGAGGTTCTGAGTGAAACCTGGGTGGCCTGGGATTGCTGGGAAAAGAAGTTTTTCAGCCAGAAAGACCAAAAAGGGACAGTTTTTATAAGACTGTGGCAAGTCCTTAGATATCAAGAGCCTACATCCCATCGTAGAATTTCAGGCAGTGAAAGTTACACAGGCAGCGTTTTCTATAGGTTAGAAAGAGGAAGGGTTGTGGGGAGGGTGGAAAATGGCAAAAGGCTGAGAACCAGAACTCCCAAATTCCCTTCCTGAATTAGCTAAAACTATTTAAGGCTCAGTATCTCCTCCCCCTAAACTGCCCAGCATTAAAGGCCATTTATACACGTGGTCCAGGAAGAAGGGGTGGACTCAATGATCTTCCAAGGTCCCTTCCAGCCCTAATGTCTATGAAATCGATGGAATTAGAACAGCTCCAAGTGCTGTGCTGAAAAACGGCAGTGGGGGTCCTCTAGCTGATACACGAGACTGGAGACTGCTACAGCAGTGGTTCTCAACCTTTTTTCATACTGGGACCCATTTGCAAAGATCGATGGCTTGTCCCAACACCTACCCCCCACCAGCCCTGCCAATGCCTGACCCACAGTCTCCTGTCCTACCGCAGCCTCACCACTCAGCCACCTTCCCCCAGTGCTGGCAGGCACCTGCCCCCCCGCCCTCCACACACACACACACACACACACACACACACACACACACACACACACCCTCCCCACCCTGACAAGCCCCAAGCCCAGGCCCTCCAACCCTTGCTCCCCATATACTTATCTTCATCCAGCTGCTTGACCCTGCCTGGCTAATTGCTGGCCATGCCCGAAGCAGCTGCTTGCAGGCTGAAATGCTGCCAGTCTACAAGAGGAAACCTGCACCTTCCTGCACTTTTCTGACACTTGCTCATGATCCTTTGAAACATTCTTGTGACCCACTTTTGGGTAGCGACCAAAGGGTTGAGAAACACTGTGCTGGAGCATGGTAATTACCATGCTCCACTGAGTCTGCTCCAACACGCTGTATTTGCTTCGTGTTGGAGCAGTCTCGCTGCATGTATATAGGTACCTAAAGTGTCCATTTAACAGAGAGGTCACTGAGGTGAGAGACAGGCTAAGCAAGGTTTCCAAGACAGTATAGCAAGCCAGTGACAGAGTTGGGAGCTGGCTCCCTGCAATAGCACGTTTAGCCCCAGCATCATCCAAGACCCCAAGGACTGCTGATGAAATCCGTGAATGGGAACGGTCTGGCACACATTTGGTAGCGTGATAAGTAAATGATTGTGAAATATGTGGACATTGTTCCACAGACAGTATGATAAGCAGTCACCTCTGTAAATGCTAACAAGACAGCTACTACATGCAGTAGAGTTTACCTAAGGTCCCTTTGCTGTTAAAAAAGCAATGAAAACTATGGTCCTGATCCTGAAACTCCTAAACAGAGGGACAAGACAAAGCTTTGAACTAATCTACAGAGTAGCCCAAGTAGCTCCCAGTGACTAGAGCATCTCAACACAGTTAACTAGCTTCCGCCCAATGACTTACGGTCGTGAGTGTGCAGTCTCGTAGCGCTCGAAAGCATGTGAGAGGTCGTGCTTGTTGTTCATGTAGCACTGCGTGCACAGGTCGTAGTCAAAACATGCCTTGCACTTCCACCGCATTCCCCTGATCCCATGTTTCTTGCAGCAGTCGCAGATGATGTTGGGATGGCGCACACCTGAAACACACACACAACTCAGGCCCTGTTTCCATGTCAGGCAGGCAGATAGGATGGACTCAGCTATGCTTGCAGGGACTCAAGGGGAAAAGAAAAAAAAATGCTGCTGTGATGCCTGCAGTTCAAAAAAGTATGTTCATGTGCAAGGAAATTTCAGGTTACTAAGACAGTTTGGTTAAATTTTCCTACCCACATCAGACTAGGATAAGATTGTTAATGACACTATGCTATTTATTCCTTTAAATCAAATGCCTTCAAGAGGTGGAGGGAGCCTGGGAACAAGAAAGCTATTTAAAATGTACAGAGGTTTTAGGAAGCCTTCCAAAGACACCAATCACTGTGGCTAAAAACAGATGTTGGATTTCTCCCAGAACAAAGCCTTTTATTCTGGAATCCTACAGATGTACAAGCCCATTGTCCCACAAAGTATCTGTGAAGTACTGAGATAACACTTCCTCCCCCCACAAGTTAATCAGGGCTAATTCAAGTTATTTACCATTCAAATGGTGTGTAAAGGGCTGTCCAGCACTTGTTTTAACATGGGACAATCAGACCTGGGATAATGTCTGTTTTAGCCTTAATGCTGCCACCGTCTTTTGACAGGCTTTTAATCTTCTACCCGAGAATCCTGCCTGGTACTGCAGTAGCTGAGTGCCTCAGTCTTCAGTGTATTTAACTGGATTTGGATCTGGACACCTCAAAACATTTCACAAGATGAACATCTTAGACAGCCCCCTGCATGAATGTGGTGTCCAACAAACACACAGAACTTAATCCGTATATTGAGCAATAATACCAGACAGTGTGGCTCCTAGATTTGGTTGCCATACGAGGGAGAGATCCTCACCATGTTCAATGAAGTAGGCACTAGTCACCCATTGCAGCAATGGAGGTGTGAGGCATTAAAAGAGACTAAAGGAGGGACAGTGCACAGAAGCAGCTTTTAAGCTCCTCTGCCTCCTCCCCCCAGCCCCCATGAAGGTTTTGTTCAAACAACCCAGCTGATTTCCCAAGGCCACAGCTTTGAAATATCAAAAAGCCAGGAGCTGCACATGCAAGAGGAAGGTCTCCACCTCCCCTTGCCAAATCAATTCCCTGATTTCATTAAAAGCAATTGAAATTGAGGCCACAAGTCTCTTGTTTCCCTCTCCCTTCTTTCCTCCACCTCCCTCTGAGTATTGGCTCAAGGCTATTGCTTGGAAAAAGTTTACAGAGTCCAGGAAAATTTAGGAAACTCTTCCAGCCTGTTCAGTTTCTACAGCCGTTTGGGATTATTTTACTGAACCAATTCCATACTGCTGCAGAAGCCTGAGACATTGGCAGTGCCCTTGTCTCTCTTGCTGCATTTTTTTGTGCTACAGATCCCAGGTAAGTTTAGAAGTGCTCTTGGGTGCTTTAAGACTGTAGAGCACAGGAAGTGCATTGCCTGGAGTCCTTTGAGAAGCCTGCACTTGATATGACCCAGGGCTGGTCCCTTCCAGTTCCATGTTCCTATGTAAGTCTTGCTACTTACGCAGGCACCTAGGCAGAAGCAAACTAGTTTGCAAGGTTGCTGGACACCTGCAGCTTCCCTGAGGTCCAAGGTTACATAGCTGCATTGAAAAATCAGGGACTTCTATTTTAGTGCCTAGGTGTTTTAGGCACATGGTTCTGACCCTCTTTCAATATCTGCCTCCATCTTTTCAGCATCTCTCTGTTTGAGCAGGAGCACCAGAGGTCACGCTGTCCCACCGGTTTGCGGGGACAGATCTGGAGCAACTCACACTTTGATTAATTTGTTCTGGATTTACAAGAGGGGAAATGCAGACAGATTCTGACTCAGATGGTTTATAACAGTGGTTCCCAACCTTTTTACACCACGGACCGGCAAACCGTGGACTGGAAATGACCACAGACTGGCAAACTACGGACCAGCATACTGCAGACCGGCAGCCAACCCTTTTTTATACTCAGTATACTGAGTATACTTTTTTATACTGCTGGTCCACAGTATGCCAGTCACTTCTGGACTTCTGATCCAGCAGCCAACCTTCCTGCAGACCAGCAGCCAACCCTTTGCAGCCTGGTACCGGGGCACAGCTTGGGGGTTGGGAATCTCCGGTTTATTATAGTGGGGAAAAGAGACTCCAGACTGCTTTCCTATGCAGCATAAAGCCTCTGTTTTCAGGCTCTTGGGGGTCTTCAGGACAGTAACAGCTAAAAGTCGCATCAGGATCCAGCCGCACGGACAGGCAGCAACATTGTGATCAGAACAACCAACTGGTGAGATTTAAGGATCACTCCAGTGTTCCAGTGGTGTAAACCTCTGTATTTAACTCCCACAGCTTACACAGAATTAGACTTTGAAGCTCTTACACAGAATTAGACTTCCAAGCCTGGCTAGGATCCCTCAGGTCTAGCAGGGATTTTTTTAAAAATACATTTATAAGGTCTATATCAATTTCCAAGCCGTTGGAGTCAAACCCGGAGGTAACGGCATTCCAGATTCTAAGCTGCAAAGTTAAGGCCTGTGTCAGAATTGTCCTAAGGGCTGGGTGGATGTGTACCTCAGGTTTTCCTTTGGACCCTGCTTTAAAGAAGATGGTATTTTTATTTTAAACACTTTTTCTATTTAAGGGAAGCCTCCAGAAATGTTCAGGTACAGGATGTGGCGTGCCAAGAGGCTGGAAGTCAGGAAGAGGGAGTTCTGGGTTTGCTTCTGGGATGCTTTCTGCACTTCCAGCCTTGAGCCCCTGGGTGAATTCTGAACACAATGCAGAGAAGGGCAGGCTAAAAGAAGGGTCAGCCACAGGTTCCAAGGGCCGGGGGGGCCGGATTGAGGCTAGTGGCTGTGCTTACAGGTGCTCAGTGTAGATGGCTGGCATGCATGGGTTTGGCACCAGCCTTGGAAGGGCAGATACGGCCAAAGAGGTTTAGTAATTTTTCACCAGCCTCACCCAGTAAGCCCAGAGAAGAGCAGAGCTTAGAAAGTAGGGGCTCCTGCTTCCTCAGCTGCACCCAAGATCACTCCAAGTCTCCCAAGCAGCTGTGAGATCATGGGACACAGCTGAAGGGAGAGCAGCTGTCATTTGATGTAGGTATTGTGTATGGCAAAGAACAAAGGTATTACCACATTTGTGCCTGTTCCTCTTAATGTCTACCCAATAGGTTGCCAGCCTTACCTATTTGTGCATTGTCGTACAGAAGAAGGTCATAAGCTCCTTGGAATCCAGTCCGATAGTTGGTTCTGGTCCCATGATCCCACTGGACCACCACCGTCTTATCTGGTGTTGTTGGACTGCCTTGCCGACCAATCTCAACCACAGTCCCAACATTCCCTTCGCCGTTGTCCTGATTTCCCCATTTCCAGTCCACTCCACGGACCACCCGCATCCCAACCTGCATGCTTGCATATGGGTCCAAGTCCATTGCTGTAAAACAGCCTGCAGAGTGCTCACGGGCAGAAGGTCTCAAAAGCAAGACAGCAGAGGCAGCACATCCAGCGCACCTAGTGAAACAGCATATGGTTGGGTTAGGAGACATTGTACAGCCTGTTGTAGATGCTACTACCTTCATGGCTCTCTTCCTGGGATCTCTTGAGCATATATTAACAGCCGTTACAGCAGCAAAGAGTTGGCTGCTGTGGTCCCCCCTGCTTTACCTGTGGCAGGTTAGGGTGTTATGCCTTCTGTTGTGTCAGGGTTGACTGTGTAGTTGCTAAGAGGTTAGACAATGGCTGGTTTGGATAGGGATTATCTTGCCTTAGGCAAGGACTGGATTAGATGACGTCTGGAGGTCCCTTCCAGCCCTAATTTTCTACAATTTTGTGATTTTAAGTCAGGTCTGTGTCTCATTTGAGCTGTGTCACATAAGGCATGTGAGAATGCATCGAATCATCATCATCTGTAAGTTTTCCTGATTCTGCATTTGCTGCATAATTAACTCAAAACCAGTAGATCATCCTGGTTCAGCA